GAAGTTTGACACTGTTAGGATGGGACGCCGAAGTCAGGCGGGTCTGTCTGGCAGGCACATCGCGCGGCGGCATCATGGAAGAGAGCTCTGAGGAGCAAAGCCCGTTGATGTAGCGATAGAAAAGAGCTAGATCGCCGACGGCCCGCCGGTGCGAAAGAGACCCGAGACTGTCTGTTAGAGAAGAGTCATCGATCAGTCGGACCGCCCTCCTCTGGACAGCATCGAGCATGGACAATGCAGTCGGGGCGGCAGCATCCCAAATGTGTGAGCAATACTCGAGGCTAGGCCTTATCCTTGCCTTGTATAGAGTGAGAAGGTCATGCGGAGAAAAGTACTTCTTAGCCCTAAACAAATAGCCTAGCTTTTTCCCAGCAGCTGCAGCTATTGAAGAGATGTGTTCGTGCCAGATCAGGTCCTCGGTGATCTGGACTCCGACCAGCCGAAATGAATGAAACTGTATGAGCGCTAGGACGCTTTTTGTTCGTCAAAGTACAGTACTGTGTTTTGGAAGCATTGAACTGTACAAGATTGTTGCGTCCCCAAGCAGTGATAGCCTCCAGGTCTCTTGTCAGAGAAGAAGTCGTCGCTAGTCTTCTTTTTTCCAGCTCAGCGGCAGAGATCGGCTTGTCACTCTGAATTCCTGCATGTAGAGTGCTGTCATCAGCGAAGCTGTGGATTGGGTTGATCGTGCAGGAAAGGAGGTCGTTGATATGTAAGAGAAACAGTGTTGGAGCCAAGACCGATCCCTGGGGAACACCCGCGTTGACGTTGTGGGATGAAGAGGAGAATCCGTCAATTACGACGGATATCTTGCGGCCAGAGATAAAGTCAGCCACCCATCTGCAAAGCTTTTCTGGGAGGCCGTAGGATGGAAGTTTGCTTAAGAGGGCAGCGTGCCACAGTTGATCGAACGCTTTCGTGATGTCAATAGCAACGACATGAGCCTCACCATGAGACTGGATGAGTTTACTCCACAGTTGCGTGACGTAAGCTAGGAGGTCCCCTGTGGATCGTTGGTGCCGGAAACCGTAATGCCTGTCGCTAATCAAGCTGTGACGTTCGAGGTAGTCCAGCAGCTCGCGATTTATGCACCTCTCCATCACTTTACTTACAACAGAAAACAGAGCTATAGGCCTGCAGTTGTAAGGGTCGGTTTTAGATCCTTTTTTTGGGATGGGCTGTACATGAGCAAATTTCCAGTTTTCTGGGAAGGTGCCGGATTCATAAGATATCTGGAAGAGACGCGAAAGAACTGGAGCAAGCTCCGCTGCACATCTCTTCAGTACAATGGCAGGAATCAAGTCCGGACCAGAAGCTTTGTTGATGTCGAGCGACAAGAGCACTCGTCTTACGGTCTTATGCCTGAATGTTACCTCCCGCATAGTGTGGGGAACCCTTTGAATTGACGGTACTTTGGCGTTGGTGGGGACGTCCATGGTGGAGTTGGCAGCAAAGATCTTGGCTAGCACTTCGGCCTTGGCCTTTGAGTCGAATACAATAGTTCCATCCTGACACGTAAGTGGTGGAAGGCTACTGTGTGAGAAGTTCTTTTCAATCTGCTTGGCCAGCGTCCAGAAAGACCGACTGCCATTGCGCTGCGACATTACCCTGTGCCTAACATTTATATCATGCTGGTTTTTGGCATTGCGAACCGCTTCGTTATATTTGTTTCTGGACTCGACGTCGGCTTGTCTGTTCTCTACAGTGGGGTTTTGTAAGTAGGTTCTGTGGGCCTTGATCTTCTGCTGGCGAGCAGTGTCACACGATTTGTTGAACCAGCCGTTGGACCCTGGTTTAGGAACTTTTACTGTGTGGGGGATGTATTCCTCCATTCCGACGTGGATAATTTCGGTTATTGAAGAACAGACAGTCGACGCATCCGCGTCAGTGAAACAGACATCTCTCCAAGGAAAGCTAGAGAAGAAGTCTCTGAGCCCCTCCCAGTCGGCATGTCCGTAATGCCAAGTTTTGCGGCCTGTGCGAGTTTCTGCTGCCACAGCGGCTTCTGACCGAAACCTAACCTCCACAACACCGTGCTCTGAGTTACCCAGGGGGGACAGGACAGCAGTGCTGTAAGGGGCAGGATGCGTGGTCAGAAAGAGATCCAGCAGGCTACTGGCGTGTGACGAGACGCGGGGAAAAAAAGTAGGGCTCGTCACCAGCTGGGTCAGCCCTTGAGTAAGAGCGAACGCTTCGACTGCACGACCTGCTGCATCGGTCTTATTTGAGCCTAACCAAAGCTCATTATGGGCATTGAAATCACCGAGAAGAACTACCTCTGAAGCGGGGTGATTGATGTTCAGGAAGTCGATCTGAACGGAGAGGTATTCGAGTAGGTCATCCCAGTTATGGTTCGAGGGAGAGCGCTAAAGGCAGCAAATAAATTTGGGTGATGTTTTGGAGTTGAGGCGAAGCCACAGAATGTCCTTCCGGTCTGATTCCAAAGAAAGATCCCTGGAGCAGGAAAGACTGCTGCGGACAAAAGCCACAACTCCCCCGTTCTTTCTCAGATTGGAGTGCACCTCGTAGTTTGGGAAGTTGAGATGATTAATCGGTGCAGTCTCTGAGATTTTTGTCTCCGCCAAGAAAAGCACGGCGGGACGATTGGATTGCAGCTGGTGATGAACAGCATCAATGTTGCTGTTGATCCCGCAGATGTTCGAAAAACAAATTTTATCTTCGATGTTGTTCCCTCGAGCCCACCCTCCACCCGGACATTCCGAGAGTGGAGTGAGTTTACGTCCGGAGTTTTTAGTGCTCGAGGGATCCATCATCATTAATTTCTTTAGTTTTGGTAGATAACCGACTGCATAGCTTAGGTGTGGAAACATGCGGACATTTATAAGACACCCTGGGAAAAGCTAGCGGGTGGTACTGCCTCGGTCGACTGGTCCTTGTCTACCACCTTCTTTTTACGTGTTAGTGATGTTAAATAGACCTAAAGTGGCGCCGATATATTTTAAGACGTAGTCAAAAGTTGATTTGAAGCATTCAAAGATTATGAAATCCAGCATAAATCGTTTTTCTCATTTTAATCATCTAGTTTCTTTTGTAACTCCAAACACAACAATAAGAAGCGTGCAATTCGAAAGAATCAAGCTGCATTGAAATATCGAGAAACTGCTGTTGCAATGTTATCTCTAAATGACACACGTATCTGTTGAAGGAGGGCCTATAGAGAATTTGTTATAAAATTTCAGAAAACTTGTCTCTAGTCTACCAGTTTATTGTTCGTCTATAGTTTATATTTGTTATTGTTATTGCTATTTTTATATTTTTTAATTGCTCGGTAAACTAGTCTAAATTCGTTATTACTGTTATTGTTGTAATTCGTTTGTTGTCGTTTCTAGGAGTTATATTTTTATACTTATAAATATTACTGCTTCTGATTTCGTGATATTTTGTATTATAAAATTGTTATTGTCGACTTTTCATTTTCGTGATAGTTGTTTTTAATGAATATACAAAAAACCTTGCATACACTACACAACTAATCGAATAATAAGTCATATTCCATGTGATCTGACTTCTAATGAAATGTATAGCATAAGTTAAAATTTTGGAAGAGAAACGAAAAATACCAATAACGTATGGAAAATACACAGATTATTCTTCAACCTGCTTATAGTTTTGAAATCCGTTGTTTGAATATTCGACTTATACATATCAAATTGGAAGGGAATTCCAATCTATAGAAATTTTCGTACGAATATATACAGTGTTCAATTTCAAATTAGTGGGTTTTTTCACATTCAGTTTGTCAAAGTTTCGATATGCTTCGTAAATTCGTTGAGGTGAAATTTGAAAAAATACACTAAGGTGGGGACACGTTAAGTGGACTTGACCATTAATTATCGATATAAATGTTTCCTATCGTAGCAATAAGCCGTTGAATGAACTAAACACATCGGAAAAGAATATGTTAATACATCTAATGACAAGAAACATTCCAAATAATAATAATAAAAGGTCTTTATTGGAAAACAAATAATGTAGTTCACATCTTTTTCCTTGTAGGCGAAGTCTAAATAAATATTTGTATAAATCAGACGTAGAACCCGAAAATGTAATAAAATACATATATAGTGGTTGATATTTTAAAAAATGAAGTTGATGCTAACTGTGGCAACTTGTCACCCTGAATGGACTAAAATATAATAGAAGAAAATTTTGTGTTAAGCCAAGAAGCTTTTGTATCCAGGGTGTCCAAAATAAGGGGATGGATAAAATTATATTGGCCACCCTGTACAGAGACAAGGTGCATCATCAAGTGATTTTGGTTAACATATACATACATTGACTCAGGAATATACTATGATATAAAAAACCATACTTATTTTTATAGCGTCAACGGTAGATATTTACAAACTACAGACCAGAACAAGGACTTGAGAGTTATTCTTGACTAAAAATTATCAGTTAACGAGCATATTGAAAAAATGATCAACTGTACACATAAAATGATTTATAAATTACCATAGTGGTGTTCACTTGAGTATTGCTGCTCCATTTGGTCCCCAGGTTATAACATACAGATCAACCAATTAGAGCGTGTGCAGAAAATGTTTTTGATATTTCGGTATAAAATGGGTTTCATTGGGGAGGAGTGTCGTTATACTGATACTGCTCTCTACATATGCCTTCTCTTGGGCAACACAGGTTGGAATGTGACTTACTTTTCATGTGCAAAATTATCAATAATCACATTGATAGTCCTCAACTGTTATGAAAAATTTCACTAACTGTGAATGATACTGATACTTTCTTTGTCTCCTTTCATCAATCAGATTATGGTACGAAGGAGCCCATGACTCGTATTCTTAGATTAGGTAATAGGTATGCAATTATCGAGTTTTGTATTTGTAACAAGAGTTTTACCCGTTGATTAAATAAATAAAATAAATAAGTAATCGCAAATCAAGCCGGTCGGTACAATATCAAAATGGTGCGGGAAGTAAAAAGTTAAGAAGGAAGAGATAATCTTGTAGAGAACCACTCACCTTCCAAACAGCGGATGCCACAGGTGCTTGTGAGCATCCTGCATCTCCTCAATGCTTGCCGTCGTACTGCCTACTTCCGGTACGTCCTCATGATGCTTCATGGCCTGCGCTTTAGCTGCAATAACCTGGTCCATATGGTGCTGCTTGATCTTCTGTTTGCTGGCCAGACTGGGGATACCCGACAAGTCCATTGGCCCGTGGTGCAAGGGGTGTCGTGTGAACTCCGACCTGGACTCCACTGGTTTGTTCGATAAGCTCGCGAAAGGCTTGCACGTCACTTTCGGCTTCTGATGAGGTTCTCGTCTCTGAGGAATGTTATACTCTTGATTCAACCCGCTCAAACTTTGCATGTAGTGTTGTTGTTTCTCTAGTTCCGCTAAGTTGTATAAATGCTGATTGGCTTCTAATTGCTTCTGTTGGTAGCTATTGTTAGAATGTTGCCTTTGGGGATAACTATTGTTTCTATGATTGCTCCTTTGCGAACTCATCCCATTACTGTTGGACTGATGAGGATTCATGTAGGGATTTTGGTAACCAGAATGCCCATTAGAGTACACAGATCCGCTAGAGAAATGCTGCTTGTTAGACGCCTGCATCATTTGGTTCAAGCTGGTTTGCCCGGAGCTTTTCCTTATCTGATTGTGGCTATTTTTCTCTAAATAATCTTTAAAAGCGTACTTATTATTCATACTTTCCATAGCTGATTTGTTCCTCAACATATCCGCTTGCATCATGGCTTGCTGCCACATCCTCATTTCAATCAAATTGCCATAGTTAAGTTGTTGCATGGGAAATGGCAAGTTAGGTGGGAATGGACTGTTACCAAACATGTGACTAAGGTCGGCCATTTGGTTAGGATAAAAGGGCATAGATCCTGTCAACATCTTCATCAATTCAGCATTGGCATTGTATCCCATTGCTTCTAACTGATTCAGATAGGGCAACCACAGCATCTGATTGAATGCTGATTGTGTTGCCATGTCGATATCATTCGCTAGTTCGTTAAATGCTTTTTGATGCTCGCCTTTTTCCTTCGCAGCTGATTCTTTCTCTCTGTCTTTTTCTTTTTCGGCCTTTTTGGTTTCGCTCTTTTCTTTTTCACTGCTTTCCTGGCCGCATCTACTAGCGAGAATTGCTTCTAAATCATGCACATTCAAAACTAACATATGTGGGTCTTGCATTATGTGCGGATATGCTAAAGCTTCTGGTAATCGCAACTCTGGTCTTTCTTTCAAAAGCTTCGGTATCTCTGTCCCAGGTTTCATCAGAATTGTGGTAAATTTATCTTTTGGTATTAAAATAGGATCTGGCACATTTATACTTGGATCTGCTAATAATTGTTTTAACTGAACCAAAGCATCTGGTTCCGAATCATTTTTTAATAGTTCTATAAGCCTAGGTGTTTCTGTTTGACTTTTTTCTTTACTTTTTGCATCGCTAGATTTGTGTTCTTCTACATCCAAAAGATTCTTTACGGTTAAATCTATTGACGGTTTAAGTTTTTTAGTGGGTGGCTCTAGTTCTTGAGGTTCTGGAGCACTGCTTACCTCTTCCGAACATGTAACTGTTGGACTGGCTGATTTTCTACTACATTTTCCTAGATCTAAAGGTTCGGCTTGCCTAGTGATAGTCACCTCAGAGTTAAGTTCTATTTTGTTGGTGTTGTTAGCCAAAAGCGATTCCAAAAATACAGATTTTGACTTACTATTGACGGTGGTAGAGACGATATCTGGAGATGGTGGAACAGCTGGTATCCCACTGGGCTGAGGTGACTGAATCGCCTCGGAGTTTTGAGAAACAGGTCTAGGTGGAGGGGAGGATGATTTCTTGGGAATGCTCAAGTCAGTAGGTTCATCAAGCTCATCACAGTCATTATCGTTGGCTTCTGTTGACTTCACAGTTAAATCCTTGGGCTCTTCGTCATCCACCGTCGAAGATTCGACCACAGGAAGAAGAGGTTCTTCCTCCTCGATCTCTTTTTGAGGTATATCAATCTCTGGTTTGGGATCGGATTGGAACTCAGGTACGATTGTTTCGTTATCACTGGCATGATTTGCGTTCTCGTCATCCACTTTGGTAATAACTTCACTTTCGAAATTGGTATGAACTTCTGTGCACTCGGGGCTTTGCAAAGATTGTTCTAACCTGGAGAGAATGTCATCCATAGCGATGTTGTTCTCGTCTTCTTCCGTATAGTCACATTCTTCGCTTTTCTTCGTGGGTTCGATGAGATCGAGGTTAAACTCTTTGTCACCTTGCTCTTCCGATTTTTCTTCCCATTCTCCGGACCTGACTTGTTGGTTGAATTCTAGTTCCGCCACAGCTAGTAGATTATCCAAGGGAGTGACGTCACTCGTCGGTACAGTAGCGGCGGTTGTGTTTACATTTACGTTGACCTCAACGTCCTCGTCGTGTTTTTGGGGCGTAACCGCGCGGTTTACTTTTATCGTGTGAGACGGCAGCAGACTCTCCAGGTCGTCCTCTTTGGTTTCAGATTCATCCTGTTCAGGTTCGTCTTCTTCCAAGTCAGAGGTGACTTGTACCCCGGTAGACCTTCGACGCACCTTATTCTTCCGTGATTTCTTTGATTTGTGATGGTGATGATGGTGATGATGCGTCGCGTGTTCCTCAACGCTAGCCACATCCTTGAGGGAGGGCACCAGGGTCTCGGTGCGCGGGATCGCCCTCCAGCCTTGAGCGGTCTTGGTCAAGAGGATGCGGTTTCTCTTGTCGTAGTCCTCGCATTTCACGTCCACGATTCGCGTATCTTCTTGTTTCACCCACACGAAAATCGGATTGATGCGGTTCTGCGGTTGTGTCGTGGCGCGCGGCGTTCTGCACTTTCTACGGTGGTGGCGCGTCGATCGTTGTGTTTTCCGGGCGACCGTCGCCTTTGCCGCTGCCGCCTTCGCCGCTTGTCTCTCGCCGCCCCCGCAACTATCGATCCGCGGTTGGTTCGGGGACGGCCGTAGAGGGCGCTGTTGCTGCTCGCCCATCTCCTGCTGCCGCCCGTTGTTGCCGGCCGCTTTTCGCAACGCTGATATCGGAATCAGGGCAGGCACGGGCGGCAACGGGCCCGCGTTCATCTCACTCACATCACCAACCACCACCTTGCTGACCACCACGGCCGAACATGAACTCACCCCACTATCACTAAATGTTCGCGCTTAACACACCATTGAACAACAGTCTAATTAAGGATCCCTTACACTAAACATACGTTCATTCCCCTTGAGGATCAACTACTATAAAATCCTGATACGTTAGATAGTTACCTTTGTTATATTACTCTTGACTGCATTCGAGCTCATATATCTGAAACACTTCCGATCACTTCCTTGTTACTTGTTAGAGATATTAAATATAATGACCTAATGCTATCTTCTACCACACGTTTCAATAACAAAATTTCGATTAAAGCTAGATATCCACTGATACAGGCATCTCGTTTTCCAGTATATAAGACGTCTCATGTAATGTAAGACCTACTCAAGTCGTTTCGCCGTAAAACAGGTCTAACATTCGGAGGTATTGCCTTCCAATTTCTTACCGAAGTGTCTTTATCTTTTCTGCTACTACTACTCTCTTTCTTCAGTAAACTTCCTTAAACATAAAGTTTAATGGGATATTTATTATACCTTATTCCAATTATTGTTTAAGGCGTCCTATCGTTTTGAATCAATATTTTTGTCGCTATCTTGACTGATTTCTGCTTTTCTCTCTGCTGTTTTTTTGTAATTTACCTTCTCAGGTTCCAGAGAAATGTCAATTATATAACCTAAATTCAAATAAAGCTTTCAATATCACACTTTCATCACCAACGGCAGTCTTTTCAGGGCATCCAGGTTATTCATAAATCAATTTTGGATAATTTAACTACTATTTTTAAGAGAAATCTTGCTTTTTCTATCAAATCTTACATCGAATTTATAATTCAAAAGCCTTTCGTTATCTGATTAGCAACGTTCAATAATCTAGCACTATAACCTTCTGTTAGCTAAAGAAGTTCCTCTATCAACTATGGAGGCAAGATAAATCTTTTTTGTAGGCCAAATCAATTCCTAATTCATCTATTTTGAGTACATCAGAGCTACTATTCTTTCTTCGCTATTAGTACTATTAATTTCATATTCTGATTATGTTCTGTTAGAGCCAGTCTCAAAATTTTACTCCTAATTCCCCAGCCTACATTCAGGATCGATCAAAAACATGAAGGGCTGAGGTCCATTTCGTAATTGAGGAACAAGGTCTGCTACACCATATTCCGAAAAGCAAGAACCTATTGCACTTCTGATGTGTTGTTGATAGTGGCCATGTAAAGTACGTAAGTACGTTGAACTCCAGCTTGAACTTCACTTCACTGCATCCTTCACTACACTAAATAATCCAAATGCATCCAAAAGAGTCCGATATGGGCCGTATGAAGGTCTTTAGGGTTCAGTGGGACGTCGCCCTGTCGTACCGAGAAGTTCTTCGATCGGCCGTGTGTCCCGACGTGTCAGTGTTTGACATTGCGTTCCACGCACGGGTGTCTAGATTAGACGGGGAACGCGCGATATCCTCATAAACTCGTCGAATTCGGTGCACTGGCAAGTGGCAAGTAGCGGCAAGTCGGTGTATGAGAATTCGCGCCGGAGAAGTACGAACGCTGCCGAGTGGATGCACGGTTGTCAGGTTTCCTGCCTCGGATACTTTAATTCTTAACAGACAATGCATTTTTTGACTAATTTGGACACATGGCTTCAATAAACCGAAAAATCAGATGTTTGAGCTTTCAATGAATACCGCATACCTTTCAAGCTAAAAAAAAAACAGCAGTTACGTAGGGACGACGACGCGGCACATGCGTTAGGATTCGGAACCCACAACTAGAGTTATGCCTATTAGGGCTTCTACCATTTATGTCGTCATGTACAAAATGTTGTAGGTGGTCTATTATGTCATACCCTACATTATCTTTAGACGCTGACGGGTCAAAAATGGTAGATCAGGGTCATTGGTTGTGTGAGCAGAATAGAAGCATTCCTACATTGTTGTGAAAATATGACCTTGAGTGTTCTGTCCCAGGTTCTTAACAACCTGAGAATCCTAAATAATAGACCACAGCTAGTGTCCTCTAAATGTATTTTGGCAAAACAACAAGCCCACCAGCAACATTAGATTGCTACCATATGGAGAGACGTAAAACATAGGTATTTCATTTGCATCATTGACATCGATGAGCCCCGTCACTTGACGGAAGAGATGTTACTTTATTTCAGGGTCGTTTGCTTCAAAATTAATTGTTCTACATTCCTAACCCTTTTGGCACGCACCACATTGCAAGGCTAAACTATAAAGCTATTCTATTTTTGAGATATACAAGATAAAATCATTTCACAAAATGTGGTATACCTTTCGAAAGCAGGCAAAAACCTTATTCTCAATCCAATAAACTTATTGCTAGCCTATCAATCAGCATGGTACATAACTACCGCTTCCATCACAATCTTGGTGAACTCCTAGATTCCACACTAGATAATTTGCAGTAAAAGCTTTTAGCTAAGAGTGATTGTATCGCTCCCGATAGTATGCTGTACTACTGAGTTGAGAATATTGTAAAATAACTCCCGAGAAAGTTCTAATTCATGGTCAGCAGACTTTGTGCTAGACTCACCAGTCTGTATACCAGACATGGCCACTTTCCTCACAGACCTACCGGCATCTATATTTCCACTTGTTCACTTGTTACTTTACAAGTAAACAGTGAAGGCGATATCTCAGAGTGATCATGTCACTATGTTAGGAGGGCAATCAGTCATCCTTTTATATCTCGGCTTAAATGACGAAGTGATGTTTGCTGGATTCTCAAACTACGCTTACTCCACAGACCATATCCAGTCACGCTATAGTTTCCTGTAGACCATCAACTCGAGCAAAGTCAGCCCCAGCAATGCACAGAGAAAGACATCTGAAAGCATCAGATTGCTATCTAAAAAACATTTTTACCTGTGACTAAACATAACCACACTTTAAATAATTGCTACTGAATCTTGTACAAGAGTAATTGAATAGCCTTGACTATTATTTGTATTGATCCAGGCATTGCAATTAGCCAGGGCAATCATTGGAAAGCGAAACGTCGGCCTTCAGCGTTCTTTTGGTCTTAGAATAGCTACGAGTAGCTAGATTAGCTTTATTCGGGTTGAACAGGAAACATCCGAAAACCATTCTGATCCGGCATAATTGGTTCCAATGGCTCCAAATCACTGAGTGACTGGACACTTGACCGAATACGAACGGTTCTATCTTGTAGAACCCAAATAAGTATTGTAGGCTGCGCTAGGCCAGAGCTTTGTAACAGTACAGAGTATATTTGCAACACAAGGGCATGTATTTAGAAATCTGTCTAGGGAGTGCAGCGGTTGTTCATGATCAGGAAGATGTTCGCCTCTTGGGGACGGCGGGGGGTAGGTATTATTTGCGATTCAATGTTGGAAGAGAGTAGCTGCTGCATGCTTAAGTATCTCTGAGCATATGCCCTTGTGACAATTTAAGAACGAGACGTGAGATACTTCTAGAAAGGGCACTTGTCTCACGATTCAGGTCTAGCAAACGACTGGCTTGACTATTTTGGGCTGATCTGGACAATTCATTCAGCAAAAACAATCCTTCAATGGTTCGGGTCAGATAAAAACCAAGTGAGGACATTCAGCGCTTGTTTGATTAGTATAGCTGGACGCAAGGGTCATTGTTGTCAAAGAAAACCCTTTGTCTTTTTCTAGATTAGAAGTCTTTGATGAGCAGGTCTTGACTGTATCGGACGGTGAACTCCATCAGCTATACTAATCTACTGACAAATTTGGGAAAGTCAGCTTGCGTAAGGTACCTGAAGCAAATAAGGCCACGTTAACGTTTGGATATCTGTAACTTCATAAATATTTGTGGAACGATCATGAAATTTTAAAGGTATTATTATAGGTATGTTCAGTGAATAAACTGTATCGGAGAGCTCCGAGAACTTTTCTTTTCATATAAAAAATTATATATTTTTTTAAACACTACCATCGGCTTTATTAGGAACCCAGGTATCCAAATAAGGCCATGATCTGGTTTTTAATAAAGCCACGCTCAAAATATAAAACAAGACTGTTGAATAAACGAAGTTATATTTCTAATTAACAAGAATAAATAATTCTTAAATCCAGCTGGACTTTAAGTAAAAAAATCAACTTATTTTTGACTTCGCATTGATGACAAACAAATGATTCCTTATCGCCTCTACACAAGCCTACACATTCCTAATGGATATATCTTAAACATATTACGCACAGACGCATGTCACGTATTTCATCCTTATCGCATATGAAACAGTACCAGTTTTCGTCTTTATTCTTCTGGGAACCATTCAACATGACCTTATTACGCACATTTAACCTTAAATATACAATTTACAAAATTGAAAACATTCAAAACCTGACAACAGCAAATAACTACCGGCATATGCCTTCTAGACTTACCTGATTGAATTAACAAGAGATTCCGCAAAAAGTCGACAACATGCAAAAACGGAAACAAATTTAAAGCAGAAAATTTTTAAGGTACATGTTGAATTGTTGCTGAATTTATAGCTGCTAACTTCTATCAATAAATTTGTAGAACTGCTGAAATCTTTAATTGTAAATGTTAATAGTTTCTGTAAAATCGACGCATGCTTTATTGGGTGCTTGGCCTTATTTGGTACGGGTACCTGATTCCCTTATTCGACTGTTATCTCTTAACAACAGTGACCATTCAGCAATAGATATCGAGGCACTTTTTGGAAAATATATCACTCAATCACTCTGCAACCAGTGTAACGTTGTATGCGAAGAAACAGGAGTCTGTAGGTTCATTTTCAATATTCCTACAAAATTGTATGACTTGTGCTTCACCAAACGTTGGCTGCAGATGCATCTAGCTTCTGACAACATTTTCTTCACAGCGCATGATTTTGGTAGGTATTCGTTTTATCTGTATCAGTAAATAAAATAAATTTTTGAATACCTCCGCAGGTATCTATATGGTACACTAAGAAAATCTACCATGATACGAGGGTGGTGTGGAAAGTTTCCGGCCTGGCCAAGAAAAACGACGTTTTGAAATTTTTTTTGCTTTATTTTTCAACATAATTTCCATCAACACTGATACATTTCTCATAACGGTGTTCTAATTTAGTTATACCAGTTTTGAACATGGATTCGTCAAGCTCCTCAAAATACTGATTTACAGCTTCGATAACTTCTTTGTTGCTCTTAAATCTTTTACTGCCAAACCATTTTTTGAGGTTATAAAACAGGTAACAGTCGGGGGGGGGGGCTAAATCTGGAGAGTATGGAGGATGCGGCATCAATTCAATCTTCAATTCGTGGATTTTGAACATGGCAATAATCGACGAATGCGCTGGTGCGTTATCGTGGTGAAACAAAAAATTTTCTTCGCCAAATGAGGTCGCTTAATTTGCACCTCGTGCTTCAAACGTTGCAATAACTCTGCGTAGTATTGACCAGTGATAGTCTTACCCTTTTCAAGGTAATCAATGTATATAGGTAATTCCTCTCGTATCCCAAAAAACAGTATAGCCATAATCTTGTTTGCCGATAAAATTGTTTTTGCCTTCTTTGGAGTTGGATCCCCTTTTCCAACCCACTGTTTGGACTGTTCTTTATCAGGAGTGTAGTGATGGACCCAAGCCTCATCAACAGTTATGAATCGACGCAAAAATTCGTCTGGATTACGCCTATACAGCGCCAAATTGTCGGTAGAAATGGTTTTTCGACGCAGTTTTTGATCGAGCGTTAGCAAACGCGGCACCGACCTTGCACACAGCTTTTTCATGTTCAAATGGTTGTGCAAAATATTTCGCACACGTTCAGCTGACATCCTACAGGTCGCAGCTATCTCGTGCACTTTCAACCTGCGGTCTTCCAACACTAATTTATGGATTTTCTCAATCATTTCTGAAGTTGTGACCTCAACGGGCCGTCCAGCGAGGCTCGTCAGAGGTGCTCACACGACCCATTTTAAATTCAGAAACCCACTGCTTAAAATGATGGATAGGAGTCTCCTAGTGTCGAATCCATCTCTTCTTTTATTTATTTTGGTGTAAAACCTTTCAAATAGAAGTATCTATTTGATGACAGCACGTTTTTCCAATTTAATCATTTTTACGAAAACAACGGACGTGTCTCGCGCAATGTGCTCTCAAACGCAAACTAACGTAGCGATTGGGCTGGAACTGTACATACAATCTTGGTAGGAATGGTTCTATAGGACGCCACTCCAAAAGTAGACCTAGTGGCGCCATCTCTTGGTCAGGTCGGAAACTTTTCACCCCACCCTCGTATATCAAAGAAATTCTATACGAATATATCTATATATGTGTATATATATATATATATACACTTGGAGATGTATATACCTGCGCCCGAAACTCGCTGAATAGCGGCGGGTCAGCAAATGTTCCCATTTTACCTTCCGCTTTTTACATACCATTCGCATATTTTGCACATATCTAGGCGCTTCTTAATAAAAAGGAACTTTAGCCTTTTAAGATCGTATCCATCA